TGAGGTCACATGTCCACTCTCAGACCACTTGCTGGTGAAGATGAAGGCATTTCCATGAATGGTTTGGATTATCCCTGTGACTAGGCACCTTGCTACTGGAACAAGGAAGAGGGACTTGGCTGTGGGAAGGCAACCAGTAGTGCTTGCCATACTTACTCTGTCTCCTCTCTGGATTGGCCTCCCCTGGCGTCTTCACGTCTGCCAGGGAGCCTGCCCTGGTTTCCACCCGCGTCCAGCACACCCTCTTCTACCATGTAATTGAGCATCACCCAATTCAAGTCTACTTTGCCAAGCTCTCTCATCTTTCCATGTTCATATCTTGTCCCAGACAGTCTGTGAGCACTGGGAGAATAATAGCAGCTACTAATGAATAAGTACCTATTGTGTTCCAGCCACTGCTCTGGCCACTTGTAACCAGCTTCCAAATGGCTTCCAATGATCCATATCTCCTGGTATTCACACCCTTTTGTGTTCCCCTCCCACATTATACTGGGGTTAGTCTGTGAGACCAATAGAGTGTGGCAAAAGTTATGGTATATCACTTCCAAGATTACATTATAAAAGACGCCATGGCTTCCATCTTGGCAGCACACATCCTCTTCCGTGGATCATTCATTGCAGGGGAAGTTAGAGACCATGGCAAGAATGCCCTTATGGAGAAGCTTGCATAAAAATTAAACCCTTTGACCACCTGCTAGCAAAGAACAGAGGCCTGACAACAACCACAGAGTGAGCCTGGAAGTGGATCCCAGTTGAGCCTTCTGATGACTGTGAGCCACAATCTCCCAGTTAATCCACTTCTGGGTTCTTGATCCTCAGAAAATTGTGTGACATAATAAACGTGTTGTTTTCAGCTGCTAAGTTTTGGGGTGGTTTGTTACTCAGCAGTAGTTTACTACCATAGCGCTATATTGTCACATTAAATCCTCACAACATCCCTGAAAGGTGGAGTTTGTTTCTCCCATTTTGAGGATGAGAAAACTGATGCTGAGATGAGGGCAGTGACTTTTCACACCTGGAAAGTGGTGGAGCTGGGATTTGCCCTCATGTCTATTGGATTCCAGAGCAGAGGGAACCTGGTTCTGTTTTCTCCGCTAGAATGTCTGCAGGATGAAGGTTGAGGAACTGGGAACGGGAGGAGGCAGTCTCTTTCTCTGATGTGTTTTCTCTCCTTTTTTTCATTCCAGCCACATTAGTTAGCAGCCACTACATCATCTAGTGTGTATATGTGATTCTGGGACAAGAAGTTGTATCAGAAAAAACAGCAGAGTTTTGAGAAGCTTTTGAGTGACCTTGGACAAATTCCTGCACTTTTCTGGGCCGTGGTTTCTTTGTCCACTATGGGGAATAAAATCCTCCTTCCATATGCATCACCAGGAAACCTGGAAGATCAGGTGTGAGGGGATTTTGTAAAATGCGACGTGATTACGGAAAGGTCTGCTTTGAGTATGGAGCACCCCTGACCCAGGGCTCTCAGTCTGTAGGGGAGGCAGCCCCACACAGTGACCTCTGCACAAGTGGCAAGTGCTCCCTCTTCTCTCCCACCTGAGTCTAGCTTCAAGAGACAGAGAATACGGAGAGAAATTGAAGGCCCCGCCCACTTCTTCAGCCTCATCCCTCACCATGACCTCTCTGTTAGGCCACACTGCAGCCCGGCTGAACTAGTGGAAATTCCCCAAGCCTGCTGGGAGCTTTCTGTATGCTGACACTTTATCTGTGCCATTTCTTCTCCCTGGACACCCTTCCCAACTTCTCCACCTGGTGTGTTCCTACTCATCTTTCAAGACTCAGCTTAGATGCCCCCACTTCTAGGATGCCTCTCTTGACCTGGTTCAAAACCTTCTACTTCTCCCCTTGATTAGTGCACCAGCCTCCTGCCTGAGCTCTTGGCCTCCAGCTTCCTTTTTCCACTCAAAGCCCCCATGGTGCAGCCAGCAACCTTTCTAAAAAACAAATCTTGTCCTGTCACTCCCTGCTTAAAATAACCAGTCAATGGAATAATCCATCAATCAATGCTTCAAGGGCTTCTTGCCCTCAGGAAGATATCCAAAGCCTTCAGCTGGAACCCAAGGCTTGGTCCCCGCTGGTGTCTCCAGCCTCAGCTCTCCAGTCTGATTGCCCTGCATACACGGTACACCCCTGCCACATTGTTCTCGTGTCATATCTCAGACGCACCTTACTCTCTCATGCCTCCCTGTCTTTGCTCATCCTGATGTTTCTCATGCCCATTCCCATCTTCTCTACCTGGGGACTTCCTGCCTAATCTTCTAAGCCAGCTCTGATTTAACCTCTTCTGGAAGCTTTCCTGGTGGCCCCAGGAAGAGTTCATGGCTTCCTCTTCTTCCTTCTCCTATTTGACGAGTCATGCTTTTGTTACCGTTTGTCAGTTTGTCAGCTTACACTGGGAGTTTGCTGTATCTGACTGTGGCTGTGTCCCCAGCAGTGCCGCTGCTGGGACACAGAGCAGCCATGTGGGATTTGTTGGTTGGTTTGTTGGTTGGTTGGTTGGTTGGTTGGTTGGTTGGTTGGTTGGTTGGTTGAATGAGTGAATGGTGGATGAATCCAGCCTTGAACCATCACTTCTTGGCTGGCCCCAAGGTAAACCCATTTTATAGCAAAAGGGGAAGCAGAGGAAGGGACTGCTCTGGAAGGGAGAAAGAAAATCAATAAAAATGTAAATCTAGTTGAGAAAAGCTGTCCCAGGCTGGCTGTGGAGAGAGATAAGACTGGGCATGCTGAGCCCTGGCTGACAGTGGAAGGGAGATTAGGGGACAAGCAGAGCTACAGCCAGGGCAGCAAAGGGAGTGTGTCTCCCCTCAGTGGTGCCTCCTCCCCCTGTCTTCACCCCCGATCCCACCTCCATGCTCTATGGGCTCCTTAAATTCTTTCAGGGACAGGGGAAGTAAATTTACAAATACTGGTCATCCGGTGCACTGCCTGTGAGCGAGTATGTTATCTGGTCTTCACAACTTTTGGGAGACAGGAGATAGGAATGATCAGCCTTACCAAAGTGAAGAAACAGATGCAGAGAAGTTAAAACACTTATTCAGGGTCACACTGTGAGTAAGTGGCAGTCAGGATTTGAACCCAAATTTCACTGACTCTAAACCTCTGGTCTTTTCACTCCACTCCACCGGAGGTCTACAGCCAGACTTCGGATGGTCCCCAACCTCTGAAATCAGAGGCACAGGTGTTTATACGATGGTGTGTGATTTTAATGGAGATACATCTTTTATCATTCTCTAAGGTGGTTGTCATCCACTCTCCAGTACCTGTGCCAGGATGTCTCCCTAGAGGTGGTGGCCTTTTGAGTTGAGTCTGGAAGATTGAATAGGACTTCATGAAGTGGGATGGAGAAGCAAGCAGTGGGGTGGGGATGAAGAAGTCCTGTTAGGTGGAGGGAAGAGCACACATTGGGGCCTCTTAGGGGGAAAGGATTCAACAGGGCCAAAGAATGGCGAAGGTGCTGTGGGTTCTTGCTCTTCATTTATTTACACTCTAGTCATGGCGCCTGGCTCCCGGCTCTGGAGAAGCATCTCCCTGCTGCAACTTTCTAGCATGGGTCTATGGGCCAAAGGGCTTCTGAGCCAGGCATCAGGATGTTCATTCTGGTTCCAGGAGAAACTGCTGGATTTTACTACCAGTCAACTCTAGCATGGAGACAATGCCTTTCTCCCAGCTTCCGGATGCAGGGTGAGAAGAAAGAACTCATAAATGCAATTGCTTATGGATCCTCATTGGCCAGAGGCCATAAGAGGGCTGTTCCCTGGACTCCCTTGGTCCCTGGGAACCCCTCCAGCCCTGACCTGCTCCACCCCTGGCTCTCAGCCCTGTGGCTCTCTTGTGATGACTCCTGGAGTCTCCTCACCCTGACCAGCCTGGGAGGTTTTAAGTACAAGGACCTCACTTTCTCCTTCAAATCTCAGTTCAACCCAGAGGCGGACTCAGCATGAAGCTAATGCGGCTTGAGTATCTTCGTTCTCTCCTCAGGCCCAGGGAGGGGCCTCTGCAATGTGTTCAGGTTGTGTGTTCTTGGGAAATTTGCAAAGGTAAGGTACTTTAACCACAAGTAGTTAAGATTGCTAGTTCTTCCTACTCCAACTACTTGTGTCCCAGTTTTTCTTTATGTGAGGTGGTTGGAGGGGCCATGGGCATTTCTGGGATCTGGCTAAGGGGCGGTTGAATTGGGCATCAACTTAATTTGGGTTCATTGGGATATATTTATATGGTTCTCAGTCACCTCTGTATTTGGTAGCTTATTGCTAGCCACCTGCATGTAGAGAATGGCCTCTAGGAATCTTCTTACCCACTGTCCAACTCACTTGGCATTGTGACATCAAGGTGTCATATCCAGAGGTCATCTTGTGACATCTGTGTGTTTTATGTGGCCTGGCCCTGGAAGTACATGGGCAATAGAAGGAAAACAGGTTTGCAATGACGGAACCAGAAGCTAGGCTGCAGAAAATCCTGCCAGTCTTCAGGGAGAAGAATGTATTCAGGGAGAACATGTGCACAACGGTTAGTAAAAAAAATATGCTATTTTTCTGAATTGTGTGATGTATTTGCTTTGACTTTTCTCATTCTAGGTACTCACTTTCTTACCTAATTTTGTGCTCTTTTTCTTAAAGAGGGCTCCCCAAAGTGTATAAGCCTCAGTTCCCACAAAACCCTGGCTCCACCATTTATGTTCTGTATGATTTTGGGCAAGTTGCTTATTCATTCTGAACTGTTTCCTCTTCTATAAAATGTGAATGACAATTTGAACAGGTGAGGACTCGGAAAGCTTCATGACCTTATTCCATTTCTGAAACCATTACTAGAGGAAGTAACCCAGTCAAATGAAAATTAGACCAGAATATACAGATAGGGAAAGATGTTATATGCAAGAAGTAACAGTGAGCAATGAATCCAGTAAAACTTAAATCTAAATAACTGGAAATAATGTGGTTGCTGCGAACTCTAATGCACTTTGTAAGAAAGGAATTTTGTAATATAAGAGACATGATGCAAGAACAAATTTAATAATAAGCTGTGTCTATAATTCCAGATTATTTCTGCAAAACCTGGGGAACAGGAGGGAAGGAGAAGGAATATACACACGTGAACGGCCTCATCTTGTTGGAAGAAACCTTGAAATTCTTGGCATTGATAAATACAGGCTCAGATATTTACTAAACATTCAAGGTGTCAACCAGTAGAATCAAAATGGGAGTTCGAATTTCTGTACCTTCTTCTTCCTCTTCTTTCGCGTGGGAGAGCCTCAAAGTCCTGCCACAGGAGCTGTTCGGAGGGCCAGAGCCACACGTGTCCCCACTGCCCCCCGCTTGCCCCCCAGCTTCTCCCCTGCCTCCAGCACAGGGCTGGTCACAGGGCTTGGGAAGCCGCTGCTGACAGCTGTCTCCTGCCGCCCAAGCAGGTCTCAGTCAGGTCAGGTCAGGTGGCAACAGAATGGGCTGGAGTAGATGAGGAAACTCTCACCGCTTCCCGGGGTTGGCGCGGGGCGGGGAGGATGGGGGATAACCAGGCTGGAGAAGACCAGCCATAGAACAAGACAAGGCCCACTGAAGGACCAGGTGGTTAGATCCAAGCATTCCACAGACCCACTCCTTACACACAGCGGACATTATAGGCCTTGGCCTTACAAAGAACAGGTCCTTACACCAACTCAGGCATCACAGAGAACAAGACGTTGCCCCCAAAACATGATTATCGCAGAACCAGACGTTATCTACGGAGCGCTAGGCGGCACGGATTCAGGCACCGGGAAGGAAATGGTGAAATTTGGATTGTCATCAACAAGGGTCACAGCGATTTTGGTGGGCCCTGGCCAAATGTGTGAAGTTATGGTGGCATTAAGTACCAGTGAATGTGTGCTGAGTGTGTTTGGTCTCTGAAGTCAGAAAATGCCCAAGTGTGGGGCCTGAATCTCCCTCCTCACTGGAGCCCCTAAGGCAGAGACCAGGCCTCGCCTAGACTGTGGCTCCCTGAGGCACTGGAGCCCCTAAGGCAGAGACCAGGCCTCGCCTAGACTGTGGCTCCCTGAGGGCAAGGACTGGACTTTCCTGAGTCTACAGAGAGATCCTCCCACCTCAGCTAAGTGCCCCAGGGGCCCTCACGCCAAGTTTGCTGAAGGCCCTGGCCCACCTGAATGTTCTGTGAGGCCAGCTTCCTCCCCAGTGGGCCCACCCCAGAGCTCAGGGCTCTGCCTCCAGGGGGCGCCAAATGGATATTTCTTGACAGGCTGTCCTGGCCCCACCTCCAGGCTGAGTGGGGCTGGGGAGGAGACCTGAGTCCATCCTGACCACACAGATGGTCATAGCCAGAAGGGGCCTACAAGCCCCCAAGTCCACTTCCACCTGTCAGAGATGGTGGCTAAGGCCCAGAGAGGGTAGGGTGCTCCAGGTGAGTGCCAGAGCTGGGCTAGGACCAGGTGTGTAAGGCAGCCTGGCCTACTATTGTCTACTTCTCTATTCTAGGGCCTGGGGGAAAGATACACAGTCCTTCCACCAGGAAAGCCTGGTTTCAGGTCAGCCCGTGTGGCTGGGGGAGCAAGGGGGAGGACCACCGTGCTTTAGACGTGGCCAACACACCAAACCCCTAGACAACTCTTTGGTTCAGATGAGTAACAGAGGCCCAGAGAGGGTCAGTGACTTGCCCGAAGTCACAGAGCAAGTTAGCAGAGAAGCCAGAATTGGAAAACAGGGTTCCTGACACCCAAGATTGGACAAAGGGTCCAGAGGAGGTACTCCTGCCCCTCTGGGGCCAGCTCACACTCTGGATTCCTCAGGCTTCTTTCCTGGCCCCGATGCCAACAGCTGCTGCTGTAGGCCAGATGGGGAGACGGTCACCTGGGTCCCCTCCTCTTTGTCTTGCTGCCTTAGGATGACCAAAATCAAGGCAAAGCAGGCCAGGGAGCCCGTCTTGAAGAAGAACTGGAGGCCAATGAACCTGGAAAAGACCAAGGGACCCGTGAACTTGGGACCTCCCTGTCCAGGGCCTGGGGGTCGGCCATCATCACCCATTGTGTGGTCAGAGACACTGAAGCCTGGCGGTGGGGGGAAGAGGCCTCCAGCTCCAGGGCAGTGGACCCTATCACCATGGCCTTGGTTGGGGAGACAGGGAGGCCCCTGGAGTTGACCCCTGTGGGGGTCCTTCCCTGACAGAGGGGGAGAGGCTCTGCAGAAGCCTGGGCATCCTCCCTGCCCTGTCCCTGGCCAGCTTGTAGCCTGGGCCAGCCCTGCCTCTCTCTGGCTGTCCCAAGGGCTCAGGGGGCCTGACAGGTGCAACTTTAGATCACCCCACCTGCCACAAGGATTCCCTCTCCCCCGTTTGCCTAACTCACCAAGGCTCTTACTTGATTTTTTTTCCTCTAGGAAGGGCCCTGGTCATTCCTGGCCCTCCTCAGAGCTGGCAGGGACCAGCTCCCTGCTCCCAGCCCTGTTAGCAAGTCCCCTCCAACCCCCTATCCCATCCCAGCAGCCTCTCGGCCTTCAGGTTCCTTTGGGCTCCCCATTGCACAGATGGGAAGACTCAGTTCCAGAAAAGGCAGGTCTCCCAATGAGAGACAGAGCTGGGCTGGATCCCAGGCCTCCTGTGCCCTAGATAGGCCTTCTCCCAACCCCACTTCAACTCCTTGTCTCTCTCACAGCTGGGCTGCTCCCCTGATTTCTCCCCACACTCAACCACAATGACACGTTTCCTGCACAGACCGTGGTTAGACCACTTGGGTTCAAGGCCCAGCTTTGCCAGTTATCAGCTGTGTGACGCTGGGCTGCTTTAACTCTTTCTTCATCCGTAAGAGTGGGGGACAGTAGCTAGCTCATAGGACTGGTGAGCTCAGTGCAGGACATAGCACCTGCTGCTTAGCAGCGGGGTATAAATGGGCCTCTCGTCCCTGCTGCTGTCCTACCTGGGACCCCGGAGTTATTTCCAGCAGCCTTCCCACAGGGCCCTGGCAGTCCCCACCCCAGGTCTCACCGGTTTCGGAGCAGGTCGTGGTCATAGTAGTGGCAGACGGCCCGACGCCCACAGCTCTGGGCCCAGTGCACGCAGGTCGTGTCGATGGCACTGCCGTGGAGCACCGGGCTGGGCATCCAGGCTGCAGGAGGAGGTGGTCAGGGGACAACGGGGCCCGGCGTTTCTGCATTACCCGCCCCCCTGCTCCCTGGCAGACACAACCCCCCAGGGCCACTGGGGCCTCTTGTCCCGTAAGTCTCTGGCCCTCAAGCCCAGCCCTCACCCTGGTGTGGGATGCTGCCTCGTGGAGGGCTCTTCCGCTGTTTGCATACCCACCTCCAGGGTCCCAGGTCCCATCTGTTGCCTGGGGCTCAGGAACCCTAAGGTCAGGAACTGGGTCCCGCTTATCCCTGTGCCCCCAGGCCTGGCACACGGTGTCTGAACTAAGGGTCCCAGGAAGGTGCTTTACCCAAAACTCTTAGGAGCATGAACTGGATTCCCACGGCTAGAGTCTTGTCTTCTTTCTTCACTCCCCTAATAAGTAGAAACACAGTGACATGAGAATTGAGAGGGTCCCAGCCCCCCAGTGGTTCTCACCATCCCCTTCTCTCCCACCACCCAGGGCCAGCCTCCCCCGGTCTGAGGGTCCTGGGCGTTGGGGCGGGGGTGGGCTCAGGCTCCCCACTCCATTTCCCTTCAACCTGTGGAGCCCAGCCCCCACATTCCAGGCACTCCCACTAGCTATCAGGACCCTGTGCTGGCCTCCCTGTGTTCCTGCTCACAGACACCCCCCACCTTCTCTCCCCATCCCTGGGCCCACCAAGTTCCTCCTCCTTCCTCCTACACTCGGCAAAACCTGAAACTCGGTAGCCAGACCTGCCTTCTAACTTCCCCAAACGCTGTGAGGCCCCAGCCTAGGATGCTGGGACCATTACTGGCTCCTCCTTAGGAATACCAGCAGCTAGTGTTTACAGAGTGCTTACTACGGGCTCTGTCATTCTATACTGCAGCCCCTACCTCACCCCTCATGAGGTAGGTTATACCATTAGCCCATTTAACAGATAAGGAGACTGATGAATGTTCAGACAGGTTAAGTGACTCAGCTAAGATCCCAGAGCGGGTGGGTGTAGCGGGTGGGTGTCAAGAATCAGAATCTGCAGCCCACTGCCTGCATTAACTCCTCTTACATGGCCTGCCTGCCGGGACATCGGAGTCCTCTACCTTCTCTCTGGTGGCCAGCCTGTTTTATAGATCTACGTGTCTTCTTGTATTTGTGAGGGGTGCCATCCCCCTTTTAATTTTCAAAAAAACAGAGAATAAAAATAATCCCAGGGATGCCTAGGTGGCTCAGTCGGCTAAGCGTCTGCCTTCGGCTCAGGTCATGATCCCAGGGTCCCGGGATCCAGCTCTGAGTCAGGCTGCCTGCTCAGTGGGGAGTCTGCTTCTCCCTCTCCCCGCTCCTTCTCTCTCTCTCTCTCTCTCTCAAATAAGTAAGTAAATAAATAAAAATGTAAAAACAAAAAAAAAGTGGTTTAAAAAAATAATCCCAGCACAATGAAAACTTGGAATTATCCTGCTCTGAGGTCCCAATTCCAGCCCCCGACCTAGGCATGCTGACTTCGGCCTCAGGTAACAATTTGTCAGTCCCAGCAGGCACCCTCAGGACAGCGCGCTGGGTCCACAGTGGACACATAAGTGCTCACTGACTTGGAGTCATGAACCACACTGATAGGGCTTGGTTTTCTGGATGTTACCTCCTGCCGGCCCACCCACTATGGGCAGGGTGGGGGTGGGCAGTCAGGTGACACTCCACTTTCTCCTCACTGTGACTGGGTGGCCTCTCCCTGGGGCAAGCTTCTGAATTTCTCTGAGCCCCAGTTTTCTTATCTATAGATGGGGGGCACTTCACTTTAGTGGGTTGCCATGAGGATGAAGACAGGGCAGTGAGAACCTGGTCTGTTACGGGGGACCCAGGACACCCGAGTGGCCTCCTTCTTCAAACCCTGCCTTCAGGATCCCTTATCCTGCCTGGGGTTAAGGACTTCTTGGTATCTACCGGCTCCGGCCCACGCCTGCTTTCACCTTAAGATGAGTATGAAGGAAGGTGTGTGGGTGAGACTGGCCAGGGCCGCACCCAGGCTGACCAGGAGCATGAAGGGCAGCACCAGGTGGCTGCAGGCTGAGTCGCAGGAGCCCGCTGGCACAGGGCCGCCCCCCACTACGCAGCTGCAGTTGGTGTAGAAAACCTAGAGTGGGAAGGGGGTGGAGAAAAGCCTTCAGGAGCCTCCAAGGGCGAGCAGCTGGCCAAGCGCCTGAGGCCCCTGAAGGCTTGTGAGGGACCCGAGGGCACCAACCAGCTGGGGACAGAGCTGGCTGGAGGCTGGGATTTCTGGCCTCGGACACACATGCTTTCCGCACACGTGGGCTGAGGCTGTGGGGACCGGGAAGCAGAGGACAGGGAGAGGGGCTGGGAGAGCATCACCCCCCACCACACCACACACACTCACACACACTCACATACACACCGCAGGATCATTCTCATACACACCACCGTCCCTCAACACACACCCACACACCTACACACACACAATCATACACAGACATGTGCACACACACTCTCATTCTTTCACCTGGTGAGGTCAGAATGTTCCAAATTCCTGACTGAGCCAGGAATCAAAGTAACCAAGAGTGTTTTGGGGATCTCTCTCATGCTCTCTCTCTCTCTCAAATAAATAAAATCTTAAAAAAAAAAA